AAAAAATTTTAAAAAATAAATAATGGAAGGATAATGCTAAATGGAAGGATTTTTCTTTGCTGGATCAGCCACATTAAACATAAATGTTACACATTTTCCAGTGACATGCTATTACAGTTGTCTACTTGACAGCACAGTGAAACTGCAACTTAACTTAAAGAATACAAAAGAAAATAAAGAACAGCAAACTTGCACGGCTGATACAGCTGTGATAGTGTTGTAATCTGAAAATAAAAAATCGTGATGAAGACTGCTTCAGTTTTGAGTAAATTATAAGGGCTCATTCTTGAACAAATGTGATGTTTGGAAAATGATACTGCTTCTGATTGTGGAGCCCCATTATTATTTCTGCTGATAAATATTAAGTGCCATAATTTTAATAAAGAAAAATGCAAACATATATTTCAGTCTGATGTGTTTTGGTTTTATAAAATAGGCTAAATTTACCTATTATTTCAAGCTTTCTTTTCTATAGGTAAATACACAATCTCTTTTCAATTAATTCTAAATAATTGTACAAATATTAAAATACTATTGAAAAGGAAATGTGCTTTTTTCTTGCAATGACAAATGTTTGCAATTTTCTCAGAGAAATTGTGCATTTTGCTGATTTTTTGCAATAAACAGCATGTAAGTAAAACACAAGTCCTGGTGTGCCATGAAATAAATCAGTTTAGTTTTTTTCCGTATGTTTTTAAAATAGATTCCTTTGTGGTTCTTGCTTTGTGCAATAAGTCAGATGAATAGCATTGAGGATAAGCAAAATACTTGAAAAGGAAACAGTTCTCACGGTTTTCATTTTAAATGGAGCTAAAACATAAGGTAGCATGGCAGCATGCAAAAGAGTAACAGGAGCACTATGAACACTTCCCTGTTTTTAGGTGACCTTTTGAGAAAGAAATTTTTTTTAAGTATCTAGCTGTGTTTTATAAGCAACTTATGTTGCCTTACCAGTATTATTTTTATGAACTGTTTAACTGGCTGTGAAGAATTACTAAACTATTTTGTTAAAATTTTTGTTTATTTTGTGTATATTGTTAAGTGCTGACACTGTGAGAAAGAAAATGGTCCCAGTTCTTAGGAAGATAATGATCTGAAGCAATTTTAAATATTGAACCAAGATGAGCAAGAAAACCTGAATGACACAGAAAAATTAATTTATTCTATTATAGAAGCTGGATAGAAACTAAAATTTACATACAGATGCAGAGAGGAAGGCAAAAGTGGTGTTTCAACTGGAAGTCTCTTAGTTTCTTTTCTTATTTGCTTAATTCACTGTAACAGCTAGCCTAAATAAAGAGGCCTTGTGAGACCAGGAAACCATATTGTGATAGAAACTGATTTCATAAGTGCCATTTAATTCTTGATTAAAAATAAAAATACATAAATAAAATGCTTAATTGTTACTTCCTTTTAGCTCAGCTGGGATACTTGGCAACGTGCCTGAGTTGGGTGTGGAAGCTTAGAACAGTTAGATGTGATGATTCCTTAGTAAGGGTCTGTAGAAGTAAATGTTAGCATATAGGTTTCACAAAAATATGTTTGACAAGTAATTCTGCACATTACACAAATTCACATTAGAGAAAATGTCTCTTTGTTCTGGTATATGTCCTGTCTTCCACAGGTACCAGCACTGTATCTAGGAAAAGGAGCTTCAGCAGTCTTGCCTCCCAGGATTCTAGCTGAGAAGTTTAGCAAAAAAATCAGTAGTACAGGTGACTGATTTAACTATACATTTGGTAGCTGAAATCTAAGGAACTGCAGTTGTAAGAAGCCTTGACAGGCTTGTTACTAGCTTCCTGTGGGAGCTTTTTTTCCTCTCAAACAGTGGCATACACAGCTGTTTAAAAAAGCACTGAACAATTGCCTCAGCAATTAGAGACATGAAAAATAACGTTTTTTTTCTTGTTAAGGAAATAGATTTTTGTGTATCTGACTACCAAAAGAAAAATAAATGATTTATTGTGTAAAAAATGCAGTTTTGCATGATTTGTACTCATATCATTATCAGTAAAGTTACTGTGGTGATTTGGAAAATAGGATTTAAAAACTTACTATAAGGATTGCATTCACTTGGTACATGGGTTGTTTTAAACAAGGCTGTAATTAAATCTATTGTAATTGCTCCAGTTAAAGTAGAGGGGGGTAGTACCTTTGAGATTTTCTGTTGCTGGACCTGAACACTTGAGAAAGGTTGGATTGGTCTTATGGAACAAAGGCAGAATTAATAGTTCAAAGATAATTAAACTTGACAGCCAAAGTAAATGTTTTCATTTGAAGACATACATTTTTGTCACATGAAGGGATTTGTCAATGAGTTTTTAATCAAAACTGTTTGGTTTGTTTTCTGGATGATTAGTTCAGTACCACTTGAGTAATTTTTTTGTTTACTTTTAATTCTTTGATTAAGACAAAGAATTCTTGATGTCCAGTGTAACCTACTTGTAAAGCATTTTCTAAATTCTGCAAAGTACATTTTTAGTTTGGACCAAGATTTTTGTTCATATTTTTAAATTCTGTACATTTCACATTCTTAGAGTCTTGGGAAGATAATTTTGTTTAAAAATGAAAACATTCATTTAAGCTGTGTTTCATTTGAACACAAAAGGAGAAAGCAGACTTTTCAAAAGGTATAAAGTTTATTCAAGAACTCAGTTTTCAATTCTCGCAATTTCCTTTTGCATAAAGCTATATAAAGATAGACAAGTGTAAACACTAAAGGACTGTAAAATGGAAACAAAAAGGATTGAGTTTGGGCAATCACCAATGAAGTTTTACTATAATTTTTCTGCTGTGTAACAACTGCAACCAGTTACAAGAATTGCTGTAAATAATTCTTTTTGAGGGAGTAAATATTTTTTTCCCCACCACAATAAGGTTCACTATGCTGGTAGTGATTTTTTTCTCTTCTCCATTTGGGTAACACTTTTACAAATAAATTAGAGAACTGCATACTCACACTGCCCTGTGCCATAATTTTCTGTTAATCTGTAACTATTTGCTGAAATTTGATTCAAATAGAAACAGTAATTTTTAAGTATTAATAAGAAAGGGAAAGACATCCATGTGGAGATATCAGAAATGATAATTTAGTGATGTATGAGCTATATTGAGATTAACAATTGAGATTTTAGCATCACCTGATTATAGTGTAGTAATTTTAGTGTAAATTTTGTTTTACCACTAATCACATCTAAAAGAAAAAAGATCCAAAAAAAGTTCTCCAGTGATAGGATGTTGCCATCCATGCTTTAAAAAATGTACACAACTTCTACACTGCAACAATACTTCTGATAACAATGTTGTAGCATAATGATAAGAAGAATGAAATTTAAGCAATGAAAAGGGGCAAGTTGGTTATTTGGGTGATGGCAGCACTGAGGGTACAGCAGACCTGTTTATTTTTCAATAATAATCAGAATCCACCTGTGAACTGAGGCAAGTCCAGAAGGTTTATCTGTACAAGAAAGGTGGTAGTTATTGCAATGTCTAAATGAAGTGCCATTAGTAGTGTTACCAGTCAGGGTAACACTACTGTCTGAGCTGTATACCTCAGTTCTGTAAAAACATTAACTAAAACAGCACAACATCAGTGTAAGAAGTTGCAACAGAAGTGGCTTCCATATACCCAGAAGGTAGAGGTTATTCTTGCGATACATGGAAAGCCTTAGTTCAATCCTTTGTTCTTTGTTAACTGGCAAATAACATTTGAAAATGTGCCTCCAAAACAAAAGCTTAAAATATAACATAAATATAACTTAAAGTGCTGTGCTTCTATTGCTGGCAGGATAGGCAGTTTGTAACTAATTTACAGTGATTAGATTAGGTGAATGATTAGTTTGATACTACATGGAAGTGGACATATGTTCTGTGGTGTCAGAAATTTGGGAAGGGTGACAATTCAAATGCCTTTGAAACTAGACAGTGACTGAAATCTCTAAGCACTTCCCAGTTTTGCTGTTAATACTACATCTTATTATAAGAGACTGTTGACATTACAGCCCTCCAAGCTACTTCTTCTAGGAGGAATTTTTAGGAATATGGCACATGCAAAGGTATTTGCTGATCTTTATTTTAATACTCATACTTTCTATCCAATGAATAAGCTAAGTCTGCTCGTAATTTGGTTTGTAAAAGCTTATGCATGGAGCTGGAACCACCTAAACTGCCTAAGGAATACTGAAGACATGTTTCTGTTAAAGTCTGCCTCAGAAGAGGGCTTAGTTGGAGGGGCAGATATAATCAAGAGATATTGTTGTAGAGATATAAATTCTTCTCTTTATGGCCAGCAGCCTCAGACCTGCTCCTGAAGGTAGGAGCGAGTGAGTCTAAGCCCAGGAAAAGGGAATTTCAGATGTTAAAGAAGTGTGGCTTCCTACTTCTCATTTAGGGAATGTATTAGCAATTGGAGCAGTCTCCAAATAACATGTGAGACCTTGCTTCAATTGCTTAAGCTCAGCTTCAGCGTTTTCTACTTGCCCTGTTGAAGCTCTTCTAGCTTGCATTAATTGTGGGGGCTTTACAATTAATGCCGAAGGGCAGTTTCAGTTTTGTACATCAGACTAGTTAGGTAAATTGCAAAGGCAGCCCTTGAGGCAGGGACTGCCCAGGGCTTTACCGCAATACCAGTGGATACTGTCAACAGGGGACTGTTCCTCAGCTCAGGCTTTTGTGTGTACCAGGCATGTTAACTGAGTGTTGGTTTTCTTCCCTTGTTCAACAGAGCCGAAGTAGCAAGTTTAAAAAAAGCTAGTAACTATTTTGTTCCAATTCTCCTGTTTTAAGGATGATTATTATTTTTTCCAAAGGATGGACATTCTGTGGTTTACTAACAATTATGGGTTAAAATCCTTTTGTAAATAGACACCAAGGCACCATGTGATAGCAGCTCCTTCCTGGATAACAATACCATCAAGTGTATACAAAACAGCATCAAAGGAATTAAAAACCCATGAGGTTTAAACAACAGACTATTAAATACAAATCTTGCTACCCAGAGATGTGCAAACAATTTATTTGTGTTCAGTGCAACACTGTACAGGGGAATGGGTCTGCAGCTGTATTTCTTTACAAGGTTAATAAAGAGTTTGTCAACTCCGGTGAGCACTTATTTTGTAACCCAAGTCCTAATGTAAAAAATAAAGAGCAGTTTTATTCTGTCCATTTGTGATGGAGTCCCACTCTGTCAGGATCAGAAATATCAGTCAACAGCTGCAGACAGAAATAAAATATTCCTGTTAATTGAAACCTGTGGGCTGTGTAAAAGAACTTTTTTCCCCACTGCTAAAACAATTCCTTGTGTCAGACAATCTGAAGCCACACTTTTTTCTTTTTAGTGGTCCAGCTGGCAGAACAAATTGCCTTATTGAATTAGCATGTCCTAAAATAAAAAAGGATTTAAATGAATATGATAGTACAGGCAGTAGAACAAACAACTGCTATTATAAAATTTAATAACGTATTTCTCTGTTGTATAGTGGACAGAAATGAGATGCACGAAGGTATTAATGACTTCTGGAGTTTTTACTATTAGTTATTTTTATATGAATCTCATTAATAAGCAAATCAGCATATACGTTGCCAAATTAAAATAGAAAGCTTTAGCAAATTAACACCTTTTACAGAGAACTTATACAAATATCACATTTTTATATCATGTGTTATTGCAAGAACAAAATTGCATAGACCATTTGCTGGCACTTTCTGAATTCTCCAAATAATGCTTTGTCTTAGCAAATAGTTCAAGTAGTTCCCTCAATCTAAATTCACCCACTCATACAGTAAGTGCTTACAAGTAGTGAGAGAAAAAACCCACGGATCTCAAAAATAGGAACAATGACATAAACATCTGAACTGAATAATAGTTCAGCAAGGAAACATATTAGTTTTATTTTTTTATGCTCTCCATAAGGCTGTTTTCAAAGTGTTACTGACAGAACATGTAATTTGATTCAAGTCATTCTTCTGAAGCTGAAATATCATTTGTGCTCTTCTTCCCCTTACACCCTGTAGTCCAGAACTGTAGATACAAATTTGCTTCCTAAATTGAAGTACTTAGTTTTTTAAATTCTGAAAAATACTCTTTCAGTAATGCTTTTTAGCAGTAATACAAAACTCAGATGCGCAAGGGGGTGTGCGGCCTTTTCTGGTGCCTCATTGGCAGACACGGCTGTACTCTTGGCAGGTGGAGCCCACGCCAGCCACTGACAAGTAGAGCTTTCCATCTGGACACACACAGATTTCATAGAGCCCCTGAGAAATACCGGATCCACCCCTTGTACCCTCAGGCAGTTTGGGCAGTCGCACAGTTTCAGCATCGAGCAAAAGCTGTGTGGGAAAAAGCAGGACAAATGGGCTTGTTAGAGATAATAAAGTAAAGCAATAACATGCCATAAAACAAGCTGAATTTGTCTAGGCAGATATCTAAGAATGGCCTTCTACCCCGACTCTGAGAGCTAGGCTCTTGGCAGACACTGGAACACATGTGGGGATAAGCTGGTGCCCACCATCTATTCCTTAGCAGAGACCTCACGAAGTTCAAGGTCCTGTACCTGGGTTGGGGCAATCTCAAACATAAGCTGGGTGATGAATGTAGATTAAGAGAAGTCCTGAGGAGAAAGATGTGGGGGTATTGATGGATGAAAAATTGAGTATGAGCCAATAATGTGCACCTGCAGCCCAAGAAGTCAATCACACTCTGGGCTGCATCAAAAGCAGTGTGGCCAGCAGGTCAAGGGAGGGGATTCTGCCCCTCTACTATGCCCTGGTATATTGTGTCCAGTTCTGGGATCCTCAGCATAAAAAAGAGATGGACTTGTTGAAGTGAGTCCAGAGGAGGCCACAAAATTGTTCACAGGGATGGAGCACATGTCCTATGAGGAAAGGCTGAGGGAATTGGAGTTGTTCAGCCTGGAGAAGAGAAGGCTCCAGGAAGACCTCAGCCTTCCAGTAATTAAAGGGGGCCTACACTAAAGCTGGAGAGTGACTCTTTTTGTCAGGGATACTGGTTTTAAACTGGAAAAGGTAGATTTAGATTAGGTATAAAAAAGAATTTCTTCCAGCAGTGTGGTAGTGGAACAGGTTGCACAGAGAAGTTGTTGATCACTGAAGTGTTCAAGGCCAGACTGGATGGAGCTTTGAGCAATCTGGCCTAGAGGAAGGTGTCCCTGCCCACGGCAGTGGGGTTGGAACTAGATGGTCTTTAAGGTCTCTTCCAACACAATTCATTCAATGATTCTAAGATAAGAGAGGAGATCCCTGCCCATATACTGAATAACTGGACATGAGGACTGCTGCAGGACCCAGTCTGTCCTGGTTTGAATGCTGAAGCCTCACCACCGAGCCAGCTGGTTAAGGACAGATGTGGGTTCATTTGTAGCTCTTTTGTGGAAGAACTGGCATGGTACAGCCTCGCAGAGGGGATAAATAGGCTGCTGCATGTTGTGTGCTGTTGCTGACAGGGCAGTTCTTAATGATGTCTGAAGAGCTTCACTACTTAATTTAGCCACTCTGGGGCTGAGTGTCTATTTCTGGGCCAGCATTCCCCACTGGGATGCCTGGGGATCACTATGCTCATGGGGAGCCGACTGCTATCCAAGTTTTATTAGAGAGCTTTTCTCTAAGCTAATACAACATTATGTCAATTGGTAGTATTATTTACATAAATAAAAGTGTTATTGTTGGCACTATTAATGTTAATACTCTGTCTCCTAAAACCTGAGGAATTAAAATAACCAGATGTGAAAAAAAGACTTGAAATTATAGTTATATTCAGTCAGGAAGATCAACCATAGTTATGGAAACAGAAGGGCTTGTACTCACCACACCATCACTGCTGTGTAGTTTGATATCCATCTGCGAAAGAGCTTCAATATTCCCAGCTTGTGCTTTGATATTAATTCCTCGTGGTGCATCCATGCTCAAAGATCGTGTTGGTGATTCCAGCCTGAAAGCAGGAGCAGGAAATTGGACAGTAGCACAATCTCATATGTCCCTTTATTTTTGAAAAGTAAGTAAACTTTGAACAAGCCCTTGCAGGCTCTTGCCTGAAGTCACATAAGTCATATAAAAGATGCAGTTTCTTTTTTCTTCAGAAAAAGGAGGTATCTATTTCAAAACTCACCAAAGCATCCCAATTGAAAAATATAGATTAATTCACGATAGAAATGCAAGGTATTAGTTCAGACATAACTACAGATTATTTCAGTATAACAGTAATGTAATCTTTGAAATCCATTTTTACATTATTTAGTTTGAATTTATTTTCATTTTTCACATAATAAGACCTTGAAATTAATACAATTAGTGCAATCTGGAAGTTTTTTTTATCAACGGGAGTTTTGACACTGCTACTAGTCAGACCAAGATTTCGCTCAGCGTATGTGTGTGTGCTGTTTAACTAGATGACAACTGAAACTTAAAAACCATTAACTTAATTTGAAATAAAAATTACTCAACATAACAGAGTTGCAAAACCTGCAGTGCCACAAGATGGCAGGAACGTACTGCATTAGCTGAGTAATCACTTCATCAGGTCACCTGTGTAGGATTAATGATTCCTATTTTCCAAAGAGATAAGGCTTTGTTTCTTCAGAATTTTGGTATCATTTCCATGGTAAGCAGTAGAGATAGATGTACTAACTAAAATTTATGAGAAGGAAAGAAAAAGCCCAAGCTTAGCTACAAACTAGTGACTTTTGACTGTTACCTAGAACTGCTTCATCTGGGGACACTGGGAACACTGCAGAATCAGAATCCATACCTATTAGGTTTTGATCCTGAATATTTGTTCACCCTTCCTGATGACACCAGCCCTAAGTTTATACTATCAGCCAATATTTAACAGGTGAATATGAAGGCTAGAGAAAGTGAGTCAACTGGTGGTCCCTGTTTACTTTACATCTTGTTACCTTTCCTATTCAGTACATTCCCTGGACACATATGAAATATTGTGGGTTTCATCCATAGTGCAGAATGCAGATGCGCGTCCCTGTTCCCAGGTCTGCATGTTCTTTTCCACTGTGTTTTCTAGAAATGTAGAGGAGGCTGTGGGTGTGTGGGTGTGTGCGTGTGCTCACACACATATGCTCACATGATCCTAGCAGATGCTGTGTTGGTTCCACAGCTGCCAATCCGGGTGACTGCTGTGCTCCAGCAGTCCTTTACTAGGTATGCACCAGGTAACGAGTGCAGACCCTGACTGCTAAAGGAATGAGATGATTTTACACACAATCCTGATGTAGCTGTCTGATGGGTTTAATTTACTGAGACTATTTAAATTCTTCCCTTTTTTCCTGTTACTTCATTAAAACTAGAATTTAAAAGAAGTCAGTTTGTGCTTGTGAGAAAGTTCAGTTGTATCTTTGAATTCTTAAGAAGCTAAATCCAGCTGATATCTTAAAACGTAAATCCATGACATCTGAGCACAGTCACTAAACTTCAATTTTTTATCCCCAAATCTGTAAATAAGCAATATTGGCTTATCACTGCTGGCCAGAGGTAGCAGAAGATTCTATCTTCTCTGATCTTCAAAAGTCCTTTCCAACCCAACCCATTCTATGACTTTATGTTTCCATGATCTGCCTCTCCCTGACATCTCCTGGGTTAGTCACCTCCAGTTAGTTTAAGTTCCAGACTGATAATTTAAAATCCTAACAATGGATAACTGCATCATGGTTCCATATTGGGACCATATCCCATGCCTTATCCCATGAGTCTGAGATGGCACAAATTTCTGTCATGACTATGCTGAGTTAAAGGGCATGAGCATGAGCTGTTCTGCATAAGACGACTAACGTAGCAGTGATCTTTATTAAGCAGTGTTTGGGATTTAACAGCTTTTGTATGACTTTTAGTTTTAGATCCCTAGATTTATACTTCTATGAAATGGAAAATCAGTTTTTCCCTGAGTGATTTACGTGGGAAGTCTGCTTCACTGGAATATTTTTCAATGAGCACTTGTATGGATTATATAATGAAAAATTAAACAAAGTTTGTATTTTCAATCCTTAAAATTTAATATATTTTCATAAGTTAGTGTCAAGGTAGTTTAATATAACCTTGCCATAGTTTGTCATCAAAAAGCTATAAATATTGAAATAGCTCATGTTCTTTTGTAAAGTACTTCACCTGTGTAAGCAATCTATATGTAGGCAAAAATTTTTATTTTTAAACTGTATTGAATATCACAAGATGGAGGACTGGGACAGATTTTTGAGAATATATCAGATCTGGAGGCTGAAAAGCAATCAAACACCAGAGAAATATTTCTTACTTTCTACCAATATTAATGCTGGTAAGAAGCCTACAGACTTCAGAAGCATTTTTAGATTTATAACATGACTTACATATAATTTAAATTACATGGCAGAATTACATTTGCTATATTAATCACAATCCTAAATTTCTGCTGTCTATACAGGTCCTATTTCTAGATTAACTAAGGGTGGATTTGCCTAATAAAGCACGTCATTGGAGCTTTCTGGCAATAGATACTGTAGTGAAACAGTGAAGTGGAACTATTATGTGTAAGATTTTAGCAAAGGCAACAGTCAATAACATTAATGATGTATTTCTCTGTACAGCATTCAAAGGTTCAGTGTCTGAAGTCCAGATGTACTAAAAGCAAAACAGGCACCTAGTGTGACTGAGTTGAACCTTGACTTTGAACGTCCCTTCTCAGTCCACACATTGATGTGCATTCCTCAAAAGTCTTGGCAAAACGAGAATTTGGTTTGTTCGCAAATGCTGGAGGGTGCTTGGAGATTCAGAGGGCAGAAATGGATTGTCTTAAGAGTTTTTGGTCATTTTACAGTGTTTGCTCGAATTCGTGCATTAGAATGATGAAGGAATATATTATTACCAGTCACTTTATCTTTTTTTTTTAATTACAGACACATAAATTACATTTAACAGGATGGAGTGAATGGTCTTTACAATCTAGAGGAATTAATCTATGTAATGTGCTGTCCTAAATGAGACATCTATCACAGCCTGTATCTCATTTAGGAAGATTGATTCTGTATGTAGGAGTAGCTTCTAGGTACTGTGGTAGCTGCCAGGGGTCAATTAGCAAGTGGTGTGGTGCAAGACAAATTGATCGTGACAGCACAACATTTGATGCCAAGGACCTGACACCCCATTATATGTGTCCTGAGGAGTACCCTGGAATAGCTGTTGCCTGACTCTGCCAACTGGAAAGGCAACCCAGAAAGGTTGGAGCACATTAGGCATTCTCCAAGAGATCCTAGCTTTCAAGTTAATCCAAATGTCACCCTATTCATGGACCCCAAACAGTTCCAAGAGAGAACCAAGATGTGGAGAGCTCAGGCAAATGGAAGAGTTCCCTCAAAAGCACATTTCTGATTTGAATTAAGATACTCAAGTAGATATATCCACAGAATGTAAATCAAAAGCCAGACTAGGCCAACTTGTGGAGTAGGTATTTTGCCTTGCTCTCCTTTGCCCTGATCCCTGCAGCCAGGAAAACTGCAGTGTCAGCTAATGAAAGGCAGGGAAGAGTGAGGGAATAGGTGATCCCTGTTAATAGTTTATAGCTCTGTCACCTTCTGGCTATTGGTCCTCCATAGTCCATCGCAACTAAAGCAACAGATTACAACAAAGATAATGTTTTCACTGCTGTCTTCTTACTTGTTGGCAAGATAGTTCCAGCAGTTGACTGTACTGTCTTTGCTGGCTGCCAAGGAAGTTTGGTGCTGAGGTGTGCAGAATAATTCGTGAAGGATTGTGGGAAAAGTCTTGAGGGAACCTCGGCAGCATCCACGCTCTGGATCAGAAACAACCCTAACAACCTAAAGGCTTGGAGATTCCCCTTTTCCTACAAGCAAGTTGCTAACTTGTAGAGATAGAAGATCACCAGAAATTGCTCAGTTGGTTGTTAGGGAGGATGTGAGGGCAGTGACAGACTGATGCAGTTGTAGTAAAGAAGCAGCTGATACTGCCTGTTCATGCTGCAGCAATATTGATCTAGTTTTTCATCCTGTTCTGGCAGGCATTAGAAGGATACCTTACTGATCTTTTAAGTGTCACAAGGCACTAGAAAGCTGGTTTTAGCACTGCAGAAAGAGTATCACAATTTTATTAACCCCAAGTTTCCTACTGCAGTTTGGGGTTGCTTGACTCAGAGCAGGAGAGAGGAACCAGCTTGCTCTTGTGAACTTGGAGAATTGTTTAGTCCTTGCTTCCACTTTTTGACCTTTCCAGCTCATGAGTCATCATCTCTTCTGCATTCAATGGAGAGAGAATTCCTTGGTATGACCTTAGGTAGAAGTTCCCCATCTGCATGCATTCTTCCCTACCTGAGGAAGACTACGGTAACTGTGATTGGACTGAACAGGTAGACAGCCTCTAAAATTGTGGTACACCCAACAACTGGTGTGCCCATACTTACAGATAGTAACTCCTCTTTTCCCTCTTTGCTTTTTGGTTAAAATGGCCTGATCAATTTTACCACACAGAGAAGATTTCATAAAATGTATACCTGCCATAAAAGTGATAAAAGCAAGGTAAAGAATTTAGCAGTGCATGGTGTATTAAGTATTTGAGTGAAATATGTTCTTGTACCAGTAAATGAGAAATCTGATTTTTATATTTCATTAGATATGCTAATCTATCACTTCCACTTCTCTAATGCTGTCTTACTTCCATAGTGCTTCAGAATAATTAAAATAAAAGGATCCATGCAAAAGGGACAAATATATATATTAAGGTTTGATTTTTGAAGAAAGTAATATGAGGAGGCAGAAGACAGTGAAAGATCCCACTCCCCTTTTTTTCTGCCATTTAGTCTTTGTAGGACTGAAGATGCTGCTTCACATTTGTTCCTAGGCATTGATATGGGAGCATGCATGGGAAATACAGTATTAGAGGAAAGACTGAAGAATATGAAGAAAAAAGGAGATACAGCATTGTAACTCAGGAGAGCTG